GGGGGGCCCCCCCCCCCCCCCCCTGCGCGGGCCACCGTATAAAAAGGCCCCCCCCACTGGCCACTGAACACAGATTCCTGCAGAAAGAAATCGCAGTTTCCAAATGTACACCCCCCCCCACACCACGCGCCCCCCGCCTGCCCTCCTCCTTTCCCCTCTCCTCCTGTTCCCTCGCCGGAAAAAGCCCCTCTTAAAAATTGAAGCCCCCTCCCCTCGCGTCACCGCCGCCATACCTCTCCTCCTCCCTCCCTCTCCCGCACACACGCACACACATGCACACACACGAGCCCTCCTCGGCCAAGGGTGGGGACCTCTTGCGTATCTGGTGGAAAGGAGCCCTCCCGCCACCGGCGTGTGACAGGCGCCCCGCCTCTATGCAGAGACCATGCCCGCCGACCATACTCCCCACCGACCATCTTCCCCACCGACCATCTTCCCCACCGACCATACTCCCCACCGACCATACTCCCCACCGACCATACTCCCCACCGACCATACTCCCCGCCGACCATCTTCCCCGCTTCATACTGACCCTTCTTCCGTGCCCCCCCTCCCCCCGCCCCCCCGCCCCCGCCCTCGCTTAGATCACAAGTTTTGTCGCCACATCCTCCCCCCGAGAGTTACTACAGAGTTTACAACCAACAGAATGAAGTCCGAGAAGAAGTCCAGCCAGACCTCCACCTTCCAGGGTAAGGGTCGCACTTCTACCTACCATGACGAGAGCTCCGAGAGCCATTCCACCGGCCCGGCCATCGTCATCCCGCCCTTCGACGTGGCCAACGCCCCCCGGTCGCCGCGGACCCTGAGCAAGAAGGTGCTCAACTCCCCGACCGAGCGCATCATCATCCACCGCGAGGGTGCCGTGGCCCAGGACATGGACTTCGGTGAGGTCAAGGTCCGCAAGATCGAGGTCAACCGCAGCGAGGAGAGCGCCCTCAATGCCAAGCGCATCGCCGAGGCCCGGGCCAAGATCCTGGAGGCGCAGCGCGTTCGCCGCGACGAGAGCATCCTGGCGGCCGAGGCCCGCAAGATGGCCGAGACCTCCCTGGAGAACGCCGAGCAGGCCTGCAAGGTGGTCGAGGTCCAGGAGAAGCTCAAGATGAGCCTCATCGAGAAGGAGCGCGAGTTCGAGCGCCAGCGTGTGGAGGCCCACGAGGCGGCCGTCGAGGCGGAGAACTGCCGCGCCAACGCCCGCGCCGAGGAGGTCCTCTTCATCGAGCAGCGCAAGGAGGCCCTGTCGCTGGCCGCCAAGCATGAGCTGGCCGCCGAGCATGCCCTCAAGATCGAGAAGGCCTACGGCATTGTCCTGGCCGAGGCCGAGCGCCGCCAGGCCATCCTCGTCAGCGATGTCCAGTATGAGGTCATCGGTGAGCTCAACCAGGAGGTCGGCGAGTCGGCGCGCATTCGCGTCGAGATCGAGCCCCTCGGCATCCAGGAGTCCCGCATGCAGTCCTCGGCCAAGGTCCGCGCCACGGCCAAGCTGGCCGAGGTCACCGAGCACCTGCCCCAGCACCCGCCGATTGTCGTCCACCCGGAGGCCGTCGAGGCTCGCCGTGTCCACACCGAGACCCACGTCATCACCACCACCAAGTCCGAGCTGCTTGCCAGCCTGAACAACGAGACCATCGAGGCGGTGGCCCGGCCCATTGCTCACGGCGAGGCGTTTGCCCAACAGCACACCAACCTGCACAAGCACCTTTGAAAGTGCCCCGCTTTCGCCGCCGTCGCCGCCCCCGCCGCCCTCGCCGCCCCCGCCGCCACCCTCCCCCCCTCCCCACCCCCCCGGTGGTGTGCACATATGAATATGCAGGCCCCGGCCTTCGTGCCGCGCGAGTGTCCATGGACCCCACGCGCGTGCCATCCTCTGCTCCTCTGTATGCATGACGGCGCGTGCTCTCCCATATAAACCATTGTCCTGCCCCAACACACGCCTTGTGGTGCTTTTGTCCTGTGCTTGTGCGATGTAATGGGACCCGGGGGGGGGGGTGACATGTCGCGCGGGGATGCCATGGCGCGTGTCTTCTCTCCTGGGGGTCCGGGGGAGGCAGGGGGAGGACAGAGAGAGGACAGGGGGGGATGGGCGGCGTGCCCGGCGAGCGCGCATGGGTGGCGAGGGGCCGAGGAAAAGAGGCCTGCCCTGAGAGCCGCCGCCGGGCGGGCGCGGGGAATGCCGCAGGAGGAGCCAGGGGCGCAAGCTCCTGACATGGCGCGCGGCGTCATGCGTGTCGCCCAGGAACAAACAGAACTGTGAGGGGGTGTCCATAACCGCTGCCCGGGGGTGCGCTGCTGCACCCCTTACGCCAGAGTAAGCTCTGGCTACGTGCACCACCACCATCCCCTTGACCGCAGCACACGCCCATCTTCCGGTGTCTCTGGGCCCCTGTGGCATTGTCGGGTCCCTGCGCACGCACATCCCCCAGCGTTTGTCGCCTCCCGCCCCTTCTGCGTGTGTGTGCCTGTGTGTGTGTCTGTGTGTGTGTGTGTGTGTGTGTGTGTGTGTGTGTGTGTGTGTGTGTGTGTGTGTGTGTGTGTGTGCGTATGCGGTGTGCTTGTGGGGCTACTACCACCTCGGGGGTGAGTAGTTTGTGTGTGTGTGTGTGACATACACGCAATGTGCAGGTGGTGGAATCTTGTTTCTCAAAACATGCACCGGCTGCGCCCGTCTCCCTTGCTGCCACTAATATGACGAACACCGAGGAGGGCCCAGACTCTCTTCGAGGGGGGAAGTAAAAATGCATGCGCATTGTGTGCGAGAGAAGGGGCAGGGGGAGCGGGGCCAGTCGCTGTTCGGCCATGGGGCGCATCGTGCGTCAAAGCGCTCCTCACAGTGCCTTTTGTGCTCCGTCCTGGCCTTAGAAAGGCCCTGTCGCGCATGGGCCCGTCCGCTGGTCTCCGCCGCTCTCGGCATCGAAGATGAATAATGCCTCTTTCGAGCGTGTGGGGGACGGTGTATGCGCGCGCGAGACAGGAGAAGGAGGGAAAGAGGGGCGAGGGGGCAGGAAATGGCGGCGAGGGGAGGAGTCTCCATGTAGCCAGAGGAGAGAGGGGGAGGGCAAAGGAGCAAGTGGCCATGCATCACCAGACCCATCTCAGAGGAAAGCACGAGAAGGGCATCTACGTGCCGAGTGGCTGCCCCGCGCGAGAGCTCACACACGTTGGGCCCACACAAATAAGAACCAGTGCCACTCCCGGGCCTCAAGGTGAGATATTGCGCAAAGAGGGGCCCCAGGCGTGCGCCCGGGAATGGGCCGAGGCAAAGGACAGGAGAGGGCGGTGAGGGGGCAGATGTGCAGTCGTATTGCCAAAGAAAGGACAGTAGAGACACAGTGGGAGTGGGGGGGGAGTGGGGAGAGAGAGAGAGAGAGAGAGAGAGAGAGAGACACACACACACGCAGGGGGGGAGGGGGAATATGATACAAGAATGGTTGGGAAACTGGCAGGGTAGCCAATGTGCGCCAGGCACATGGCACCGGTGTGTGTATGTGCGTGTGTGTGTGTGTGTGTCTGTGTGCACGCCGCCTACGATCGGCCCGCGGCGGAGTGGGCGCGCAGTGGCGGCGATACCACCGTGCGCTGGTGCTGTTGCCGCTGCTGCTGGTGGTGGTGCTGCTGCTGCCGCTGGTGCTGCCGCTGCTGCTGCCGCTGCTGCTGGAGCAGGGCCCGGTAGTCCTGGCAGTCGCGGCTCCGGACGGAGTATTCGTCGCGCCAGAGGCACACCGCCGCATCCAGCCCACACGACAGGAGAGCCACATCACCGAAGGGCAGCAGGGCGGTGACCGACTTGTTGTGCGCTGCCAGGGTCGACAGCAGGGCCGGCACGGGAGCCATGTCGTGCAGGGACACGGCGATGCGCACGTCCGTGCTGTGCGTCTCCAGCGGCGAGCCAATGTCAGGCAGCTCGCTGGAGGAGCTGGTCGGCGACAGGGTGAGCCCCTGCAGGCGCGTGGCCGCGGCCGTGGCCGTGACCGCCGTCAGGGAGAACCCCCCCGGCGGTGGTGGCGTCGCCGGACCGGCGGCGACCGACAGGGTGGCAACATGATGGTGCGCCGGCTGCGGCATGGACCCCGGCGAGAGGGCCGCCCCGGTGAAGGGTGTGGCCAGGAGACCTCCGCCGCCGCCGCCGCCGCCGCCGCCGCTGTTGCTGTTGCTGTTGCTGCCAACACCGCCGCCACCGGTGCTCGGGCGCCTGGACCCCGATGAGCTGCCCCTCCCTGGAGCATCCTCCGGGAAGGAGGACGACGAGGACGAAGAGGACAGCGAAGAGAGGGACGACGTGCGGGAGGAGGCAGAGGCACCCCGGGCACCGGGCAGCGCCGGCTCCACCGCGCAGTAAGCCGTTGACAGGTGCGGCGGCGGCGACGCGAAGACCGATGTCTGCAGGGCGTCCAGGGCATGGCTGGCTGCCGCGAAGACCGGGCTTCCCAGCAGTGCCACCATTGCCGGGTGGTGGATGGACAAACTCACCGAGGAAGGGCCGCCACCACCGAACCCCAGGGAGGCAGACCCGCTGAGGCTGGCCCCGGACACGCTCCTCGCAGGGCCGGTGCCGGCGCCGGTGCCGGTGCCAGTGCCGGTGCCGGTGCCGGTGCCGATGGGGCTGCCACTGTCCCCGCCGCCCCCGGCGCTGGCACCGAAACTGGAGGCAGCCGCCGCCACGACTGCCGGGTCTGCCGACGCATGGTGCTGTAGCACCGACGAGAGAATCACAAAGTCGCTCGACGGACTGGGCTCCGATGTGTCGGCCCCCCCGGGGAAGAGGGAAACCGGCGAGGACACGCGTGAAGACCGGGCCGAGGCCGAGGCACTTGCCGGGGGTGGGACATTGCTGGCGCCCACATGGACCGAGCTCGATCGTTGGCGGAGTCCGGCGGCGTCGGCACCGCCGGGGCCGTTCGTCGGGGCCGCGGACAACGGCGACGAGGCGGAGGACGACGAGGAGGAAGTGAAGACCCAGCCGCCGAAGGGGCCGGCCACTGCCGGCCCTGACGCCGCCGCCGCCGCCGCCGCCGCCGCCGAAGCACCAGCCGGGTGGGGCTGGCCCGGCAGGCCGGCCTCCGTCACATGGGCCGGAGCAGGCGGCATGCGATGGTGCCCGGTAAGTGAGGCGCTGCGCACGCGCGAGGAAAAGAGGGAATCCGACAGGCACTCGGTGGATGCATGGGTGTCGATTGGGAAGGCCGGCGGCGACCGGGGAATGAAGGCATCCGGCCCGAGGACCGCGTCGATACGCTGACGCGGCGTCAGGAAGGCCTCGATGCCGACCTTGGAGCGGGCGTCCGAGAAGGGGTTCCGGGGGCCGGGGGCCGGGCGCGAAGCGAGGGGGAGAGAGAGGAGGGGAAAATTGCGTGAGAGGAGAGTGAAGAACGAAGAGAGGTACACAAGCGGGGGGGGGGGGGGGGGGGGAAAAAAAAAACGGGGGGGGACGGGGGGGCGGGGGGGGGGGGGGGGGGGAGGGGGGGGGGGGGGGGGGGGGGAGCAAAAGCAGCCGGCAGCGACAGCGGACAGGGGAAGGACGACATACCGGCGGCGCGGATAGCAGCTGACACGTGTCATAGGAGAGTAGCAGAGATAGCAGGCGTTTGTTGCTTGGGCGCGAGAGGGTCTCGGCCACATCGACCCCGGCCGGTACCATGGGCGGCGGCGGCGGCGGCGGCGGCGGCGGGAAGGACGAGGCCCCGGTGCTGGCCGGCGAGCTGGGCCGCGAAACCGGCCCGGCCGCCGGGCCGCCCATGGCCCCGGCCGACGGGTGCCGCGACAGGGCTCGCCCCGAGAGGGAGCCGGTGCGGGAAAAGGGCCGGCCACCGGGGTTGGGCGAGGGGGGCGGCCGCGGGCCGCCCAACAGGTCCCCGGAAGACACCGAGCCACCGAGCCCGGAGGCCGCCATCCCCCCGTCAGGTGGCAGGAAGGAAGTCCCGGAGCCCGGGCGCGAGGGGCCCCCCACATCGAGGGGGTTCACATGGCCCACGGGCTCAGGCTCGCTGGGGGTCGACCCGGCAGGGCCGCCGCGCGAGGGCGCCGGCGAGTTGGACCCCGACGAGAAGGGGGTCTGCAGCAGGGAGTCCGGGTCGTCGGTGTGCGAGAACGACCGCAGGGACATGGCCCGGCGCTTGTCGTACCCCGGCCCGGGGATGGTGGCCGAAGAGTGGCCGCCGGCCGGGCCGGGCCCATGGCCGGGGACCAGGGGCGGGCGACCGGACCCGGGCCGGCCGGTGGCCAGCGCCATGCTGGACCCGGATCGCGGGAGGGGCAGCCCGGATCCGCCGGCGTCGGCGAAGGCCGACAGGGTGTCCCCGAAGCCCGGGGCGGCGTTGCCGACGCCGCTCACCGGCGCCCCGAATGCACCCATGCCCAGGATGGCCTCGGCCGCCGATGCGACCATGAAGTGTGTATGAGCCAGGCCCGGGGAGGGGGACCATATCCGGATGCTGGAATCATCGCCGATGGTGAGGATCCGCGCGCCGCCATACAGCAGGGCGATCTGCCGCACGCAGGTTTCATGGGCATCTGGCAGAGAAAAGAGGCACTGCCCGGTGCTTGTGTCGCAGAGGGCGATCCCACGGTCGACAGCCACCAGGAAGAAGCGCTTCGTGCATGTGTGTGTGTGTGTGTGTGGGGGGGGGGGGGGGGGCGCGAGCAAGTGCACGACAGAGAAGGCGGTCAGCAGGGCAGGATGAGAGCAGTGCCAGCGCCAGGCTAGGGAAAGAGGAGGCGAGACGACGGGGCGGGGCCCGGGGGCAAGCATGCACGAATGGCCGGCAGACGCACGTCGTCCACGGGGCGGATGTCGCCGATGGTCGGCGGCCGCCACGGGCTGCCGGGCAACGACCCGGCCGGGTCAAACAGGCAGTACACCGCCTGCAGAGACTCCGCGCACCAGACCAGCACGAGCCCATCATCGGACGCCGAGGCAAAGAGGCTGGCAGTGGTGGCGCTCCGGGAGTAGGGGACCGCCGGAGTGCCGGGCGCCACGCCGCGCAACTCCACCAGGTGGTGGATGCTCTCCCGGTGACTGCCGAGGCTGGACCGGAGCTGGGAGATTGGCACATCCACGGCGGCCAGAGTCAGGGATTGAAGGTGGCCGCGCGGGGTCGTGCGAAGACAGTCCAACAGCGGTCCGAAGTGGAAGACAGCTGGAGGGGGCGCGGGGCGCGGGGCGCGGGGAGAGTTAGGCGAGGCGGGAGGGGAGCGGAGAAAAAACATTCGGAAGACAGGAGGAACGCCTACCGATTTTGGAGTCAGATGCGATGACCACATCATGGCCACTGCCGATGGACACCATGGCGCTGGTGCCTGGGGGAGGAGGGGGGAGAGAGAGAGAGAGAGAGAGAGAGAGAGAGAGTCAGCGCCCGTAGCAGAGAAGATGGGGAGGCGTTGGGGGGAGATCCGTGGCACAAGACGCACTGGACCAGTCGGGGGGGAAGTTCAATCGGAACAGGCACCGGCCGAGGGAGAGACTCCAGAGAAGCACGAAAGAGTCCGTGCCGCCGGTGATGAAGTAATCGGGCGTCAACCGGATGAGGCTCTGGGGTGAGATGCGCGTGAGAGGGCGGGGGTCAGCATGCGCGCGCGGGTGGGGCAAGGCAAGGGGAGAGCGAGGAGGGGGGGGGGG